ATATATATATATATATTCTTCCAGAGATTTTTATACATATATCAGAAATTCCATACATGTCAATTTACTCATTTTTTCCTTTTTAGCACAAACGGCTGCATACTATACACACTACTGTATCTTGCTTTTCTCACCTAATTTATTCTAGAGATATTCCATGTCAGTATACAAAGAGCTGCCGTTCTTGTTTACTACTTCATAGTATTCTATTGACTGAGTGTACCATTTATTTGTCCAGTTCTGTAATGATGGACATTTAGATTGTTTTCCTTATTTTGGGGGAGAGGGTTAACAAACAATGCTACAGAAGTCTAACTTTCTAACTTACTCTATCCTCCAGGAAATGCTGGACATATATTAGCTTAATTGAAAAATCATAAAATTGCAACTAAACTGAAGGCTACCACTTATTTGAGCTATAGTTGAATATACCTGCAAGATGTCTGGCAACATCTAGGAGGTGGGTATATTTTAAAGAATAAGGACTTAACGCCTACAGCTGGACCATCATGAAGCCCAAGAAAATTACAGAAACGTATTCAGAGAGCTTCCTAGAGTTTATTCTGTTACTGGGCCTGCACCTCCTGAAAAAGGGCAAACACACACACACAATGCCTGTTTGCCCACCAGAAGTCCCGTGCTTGCTGCCTAGCCAACAAAAATGAGATGAGTAAAGGATGTTTCTCCTTTTGATTATAGACCTTTAGTGCCAAGAATAGTTTCATTTTTTTTTCTTCCAAACTTGTAAAATTAATGAGTATATAAACATCTCTCCGGTGGAAATCACTCCAGGTCTCAGCAAAGGGGACAGGATGGAGCAATTAATATCCACCTTCTTCCTTGGGGCTCTATCAGGATTCCTTAATCCTTGAATTGTTGGATAAAGGACAGCATGTCAAGGAGAATATGCATTGGGGTTTTTGAGAGGAATTAGGATTTGGTGGGAGGGTCTCTAAACTGGGAATCAGAAATACCAAGTCTGTTTCAGGTGACTGGTATACTTCGGTGTGTGACACCCTTAGACCTAGCAAGTTTGTTTGTCCCTTTGACCTTTAGCGGTACACTTGAAAGGTACATAACTTCGGAGGCATTTCATATCACAAAATAGAGTCAACATTTCAAATCAAATACCATACATGCATAGAAAAAGTATATAGTAGGTTACACATAAAAATCAAGATTTTCAAAGTTAATAGTAATTGTCTCTGGTTAATAGAATTATACAGAGATTTATAAAATTATTTGTCTCTTTTTTGAATATTTGTATTTTCTAAGCTTTTCTTTTTTAGTTTCCCCACAGTCAGCATATATTTTTTGTGTAATAAAAAATTAAATAAAATATTTTTTTAAAGCTTTGCAATTTTTCATCTGTTCATTCAACCAACATTTATTTAATTCCTGCTATGTGCAAGGGACTGTGCCAAGAGCTTTAGAGAAAAAGTAAAAGCAGATTTAATGTATCTCATTTCAATTACACTGATGCATATATTTATTGACTGATGATTAGATAGATAAATGCACATGGAATAATAGAGAGCAGTCTTAACAGAAAATCAAGACAGTGCAACAAACTATTTTACAGTATTGAGTAGATGGGAAGTAAAAGAGAAATCAAAATGGAGTCTGTTTAGGAAAAAGCTTTGATTATGATCATTTTGAGCTAGGACACTGAGGGAAATAGAAGAGATAAAGCATTCCAAATGGAAAGGAATGATAGGAATGATGACAAAGAATTGAGAGTCTACAAATTGTGTTTCAGGCTGGTAAAAAGACTAACTTGGTCAATGCAGAGAAATCAGAAAGGGGATTAAAGAGAAATTTGGTTAAATGGATGTTGAATACTAGATGGAAGCCTTTGGTTCTGTTTGGTTCAATACGCCACCCAGCATATTTCTTGAAAAAGGAAAGTCACCAAGATAAAAATAATTAAAGGAAGATTACAGTTTTTGTGTTGTTTTGGCTGTGTTGTGTGAGTTGGATTGGAACAAAGAGATACTGGAGTCTAAGAAACAAACAGTCTTGCTGTTGTGCTTAGTCCAAGTGTGAGATAATGAAGGCCTGAATCAGAAGAGTGGCTATATCAGAATGCAGAAAAAGGAACTGTCAGGAAGCATAGAGAATCAGCATGACTTGGTGCCTGATTAAATGTGGGGAACAAAAGAGTATAAGAACAAAAGTTGACCCAGCAATTCCACTCTTGGGTATCTATCCAGAGAAACCCAAGATGCTAATTCTAAAAAATATATGCACCCCTATGTTTATTGCAGCGCTATTTACAATAGCCAAGATTGGAAACAACCGAAATGCCCATCGATAGACGACTGGATTAAGAAACTGTGGTACAGTTATACAATGGAGTATTACTCCGCTATAAAGAAGAATGAAATTGTACCATCTGCAACGATATGGATGGACCTAGAGACTATTATGTTAAGTGAAACAAGTCAGTCGGAGAAACACAAATACCATATGATCTCACTTATATGTGGAATCTACTAAAAAACTAAATGAACGCGCGAAGTAAACAGATAGTCTCAGAGATATAGAGGAAAAACTGATTGTTGCTAGTTGGGAGGGGGTTGGGGATGAGGGAGAAGGGGAAGAGATCAGACAGCATAAATAGGCAACTACAGTATTTCCACAGGGGTATGAAAGACAGTTCGGGGAATATAATTATTTTATAGGGTGTCAGATGATTACATGTCTTGTTAGGGAGACTACTTCATGGATGGGGTAGAGGCTTGATCACTGCACTGTACACCTGAAGCTGATGTATAATATTGTATGTCAACTATATATGTAGTCACGGGACGTAGAGTATAGTGTAAAAATGGAGTCAAGGGAATTGTAATAGATATGTATGATATGGGGGGGGAGTGGGGCAGCGGATTGGGGGAGGGGGATTGTCACTTTGAGGGGTAAAAAGCATAACTATTGCACTGTGTTGTACAGCTGAAACTAACTTAAAAAGTTTATTTCACAATAAAAAATAAAAATAAGTAGCAAACATTAAAAAAAAAAGAGCAAAAGTTATTCCAGAGAAATCAATACAAACTCTCTGAAGAGAGATTGTATATCAAGATCCTTTAAATTTTTATTTCCACCTATTAAAATGCTTAAAATTCAAACAAATGTCAATGCCAATTGCTAGCAAGGATGCAAAGCAACAGGAATGCTCCCATTGCTGGTGAGAATGCAAAATGGTGCAGCCACTTTGGAAGAGAGTTTGGAAGTTTCTTATAAAGCTAAACATACAATCCAAAATTGCACTTCTAGGTATTTACCCACTGATTTGAAAACATATCTACATAAAATTGTGCATGCAAATGTTTATAGCAGTTCTACCCTTAATTACGAAAACCTAGAAGCAACCAAGATGTTCTTCAATAAGTGAATGCATAAACAAACTGTTACAGCCATACAGTGGAATA